GGGGGGGAGGAAAAAAAATGATGATCGCGTATGAACAAAAACAATTCGGTTCACGTTAAAACCGATTTCTTGTACTACAAAAATACATAAATAAATTACAAATTTCTTGTCTTTGATACGTTAATCGCAAGTTATTATCGTTGTTAAATTTCGGATAACACATATTTCATTAAATTTATTGTTGTATGAGTTTTCGTTACGTGGCATTTTTTTCGTTAATAATTTAAATCGTAGAAATTGTTTCATTTTATTGTAGTATTATGATTGGTAGTCACAAACTAATACTTGATCATGTGCATATGCATATATGTGAAAAAAATATTATAAATTATTATATTTTTTATATAATATTAAAATTATAAATTAAAATATACCTTTATGATCAGTGTTCTAAAAGTCGCTAGGCGCCCGCTAGGCGCTCGACCAGCGCCAAGCGCCTAGAGCGCCTAGGCGGGGCCTAGGCGGTGCCTAGTCGGGGCCTAGAAATCAATATTAAATACCTTATTTTTTATTTAGTTTGACTACCTACAAAATAAAACTATCTCAACTTATAATAAATCGAAACACCTAAGTCCAAATAATAAAATTAATATATTTTAAAGAAAACGTGAGAATAAAATAATGTAATTAATATTTAAAAAATTTTAAAAAATTAAAAAAAAAACTGAAAAATTGCCGCCGAGCCCGCCTAGGAGCGCCTAGGTCCGCCTATTCCTGCCTAGGCGCCGCCTAACCGCCTGGCCGCCGCGCCCGCCTAGCTGCCTGACCGATTTTTTCTGCCGATTTGTGCAAATCGGAGGCGCCCGGGCACCGCCTAGCGCCTAGGCGCCGCCTAGGCGGCCGCCTAGGCCGATTTTTAGAACAGTGTTTATGATACTAACCTTTTTTCAAAATATAAAATATTTTTTCTTTAATATCCAATCATTTATATTATTGATCTATCAAGTAGGTCATAAGAATTTCAAAAACCAATAATTTCTACTTATTTCAAATTATAATTATTTTAAAGTGCTCTTATTATCCCTCTCAAAGACCTTTTCACAAGTAAGTTGTGAATAACCACCAAACTTATAATAACTTTATCCTCCAATTGCAGATCATTTTGCTATTAACTAATACAAAATTAACTTTGTCAAGTCAAACCTCAAAAGTTCTTAATTTTAGTAGAAATTAAACTGAAATACACACATATTATTTAATAATTTGGCCTACATATCACTATAATTTGGCCAACACAAACAGTAATATAGTTTAATTCAATTTGGACCAAAAAACTTCAACTCAGACAACAGAGAAATTGCAGTTCATTTTAATGACTTTTAATTTTATGCCTTGATTTTCTTGACTTAACTGTCTTTTTTTATTAATTCTGCCCAATTTTCACTGACTTTGGTGGTGAAATATATATATATGTATATATATATATATATATATATATTTTGGGTGCATTCACCCATTGTTAATGTATGAATTCAACCCTTAAGTGTCTTTTCAGATTAAAAGTTTCACTAGAAATTAAGTATTAACTGTATATATGCATCTCCATACATTTAATACAAAATTTCAATATTTTTTGATAAAGTATATAAATTAAAAATATACTTTTGGGTTGAGTGCATTACTAAAAAATTTGATAACATTTTAAGTTATCATGCAGCTTTTGAGGTGTATTAATAAAAATAGTTCAATTAGAATTCAATAGTTTTGTGATTTTTTAAATTAATGTCTTTGAGGATAAATGAGGAAACGTGGGTTGACGAGTGCGGTCTCATGGACGTGAAGCGCACCAAAGCAGGGTGAGCCTATATTGACGTTAGTGAGATTTCATCTTAAAACCAATCATTGGAACCCCACTAAGACCCATCTAGGCTCACATCGCCTGCTTTGGTGCGTTTCATGTCCGTGGGATCGCACCCATCAACCCACGTTTCTTCATGGTATCAGTGCCGATTCACCCAGCCCAGTTGGCTTGGGCCTACGTGGGACCGTGCAATAACGTACCTGTTACCCAATCCAGTTAGGTTCGGGTCTCATCATAAAGGACTCACAAGTGATATTCTAACAATAATTTTGGCTGAAACATTGGGTACAAATTTTACTGGAACGTGTACTCATAAAAGATAAATTTTCCTCAATTTTAATTATGTTACCTATATGTAACAAATTATATTTATCCTTTCGTGTTTTCTATTTTTTATTTTTTAATTATGTTTCATTTATCTCTAATTCTCTATGTATGTCACGTACGTACTCACGTCACAAAAATTACAATTAGGCTTTAAAAAAATTATTATTTAATTAATTAGGCTTTGACACTTTAGACTCACCACTCCTAACACTATAATAACTTTTAAAGATTATCACAAATTTAATTTATATATTATTTAATCTAACAACTAAATTAAAATAAGCTTAATCATACATATCCACTTGCATGTTCCAATCCCTTAATTCTCACTTTTTTTAGCCTCACACAATATATTTATTTATTTATTTATTAATAAATTAAATTAATAATCAATAACATATATTATTAAAAACTCTTGAGGGAAAACTTTGCCGCCCTTGTGGTCCTACCGACTCGATTTCGGATTAGTCGATTCCCCTGTGGATCCGAAAACCGGAAGGTTCCTGTACCCAAAAAAAATAACATATATTATAACTTTATTGATATGCACTCAATCGATTGTATATAGCCAATTACAGTAATTATCTCCGTAAATTCCGTCAAATAAAATCAAATATTTAAACACAAAATACGTAGTCAATACGTACAAGAATTCTTTTACACAACACACACTACAAACAGTGTTTGTTAGTTAGTTATCAACTTATCATGCACGTATACAAAAAAAAAACAGTTACTTTGACCAAATTGCCCCTCATCCCCATTTCACATTTTCACCCCTATAAATATGTACCCTCACAATCAAAGCAAAATCAATATAACCAACACACAAAAAAAGATTTATCAAGGGTTGAAAATGGCAATTACCCTAAAGATAATCCAAATTCTCATTCTCACCATCATTTATTGCTCATTGGTACCCTCACTTGGGGCTAATTACAACCCGACCCTCGACGTGTGGTCCTTCGGGGCCGTGCCCGACGGGAAATCCGACTGCACGGAGGCTTTCACGAGCGCGTGGAGCTCGGCATGCGCCTATGTGGGGCCCGCGACCATTTACGTGCCTCCGGGAAGGTACTTATTGAAAAACACGTACTTTTCAGGGGCTTCGTGCGAAAATACTGATATAACGATACGTATCGACGGGACTCTGGTGGCTCCCTCGGACTACGAGGAACTCGAGAAAAACGGGAGCTGGCTGCAGTTCGAGTGGGTCGCCGGAGTTTCTATTCTCGGCGGGACCCTAGACGGTCAAGGGACGAGATTGTGGGAGTGCAAGAATTCCGGCGAGAATTGTCCTAAAGGAGTTACGGTGGGTTTTTCTTTTTAATTTTTTTTAGTCCATTTTCATTTTAAACTTGGATTTGATTAATATTTCGTCTATTTTATTCAATAGGGGTAGAAATTTGATTTATCATGCATGTAGTGTCAAAAGGGTTTAATTAAAAAATTATTTTTGTGATTTATTTAAGTCTTTTATTAATTTCAGTAAAGAGAGAAAACATTTGAAAGCACTCAAAATGATGCGTGAGCAAAACCGAGCCGAATCGTGCAGTTCGGCTCCTTTTTTAATTTAAATATCCTCGATTCAATTTTCTCTACACCACAGTGCGGTGCGATTATTAGTCTGATTTTCAGTTTTATTTTTTCGGTACAATTTTGCATAAAACCATGCCAAATTAGAAAAAAATGTAATGATAATTCGAGACAAAACTGAAAAACGAGTCTAACTATGCATTCAAGCGCGGTTCGGTTATTTTAATGTAAAAAAAAATTCAGTTCGATTTCGGTTCAGAATTTTTTCCCTAAGTTGCGATGCCGTTGCAGTTAGATTTTTTTGTTTTTCCGGTTTTCTATAATTCGGTGATTTCAGTCTTTTTTATTTTATCGTACATGTCTAACTAATGTGTCCTAAATTGTCCCACAACTAAATACTCGTGCACTCATTAATAATTAATACTATATAATACCAACCAACATTGCTATACATAATATATGCTCACAATTCAACACAAATTGAAATTTTTTTGGTACCCATTTCAATAATTGCAATAATTTCAAAATCGGTCCTTAACTTTGCAGTCACTGGCTTTCTACAACTCGAACAACATAAAGATCAATGGATTGACCTCTCTAGACAGCCAAATGTTTCACATTATCGTCCACGGTTGCAAAAATGTCGATCTCACGAACGTGAGGGTGTGGGCCCCCGAAAACAGCCCAAACACAGACGGGATTCACGTGCAACAGTCGACTCGAGTTACTATTACAAACTCGTTAGTCGGAACTGGCGACGATTGTGTCTCCATTGGCCCCGGAGCCTCCGATTTGTGGATCGAGAATTTGTGGTGCGGGCCGGGCCACGGGATAAGGTATTGTACTCACACAAATTTACACATTTTGTTTAAGTTTGTAATTAAAAATGAAAACTTTGTAAATGTTCAAAATAAATATGGATTTGGAGGTAAAAGAATTAATTTTCATATGATAAATTACACCATTTTTTAAATTTTTAATTTTTTTTCACAGCATTGGAAGTCTGGGCTGGGAGGCCCAAGAAGCTGGAGTCCAAAACGTGACGGTGAAATCAGTTAAATTCTCGGGCACCCAAAATGGAGTTAGGGTGAAGACGTGGGCCAGGCCCAGCAATGGATTTGTTAGGAATGTCCTTTTCCAGCACCTTGTTATGACTGATGTCCATAACCCGATTATCATTGACCAAAATTATTGCCCCGGCAACGAGAATTGCCCGACCCAGGTACCCATAAATAATAATAATGGAAGATTCTACTGTCCCGTTAGGGAACTATTCCGTCAGAGTTTGTTACTTTAAATCAATTATCCACGACGATTACGTGAGCAAATCCCGACGGAGTGATTTCGTAATGGCACGGTAGCATTTTACAACAACAATAATAATAATAATAATAATAATAATAATAATAATAATAATAATAATAATAATGAAATTAAACCTTTTATCTTTTATTGACTTTTACTAATTGGAAGTAGTAAAAAAATATTTTATCTTTTCCTTATTTTTTGTTGTCACTACAGACATCGGGTGTAAAAATCAGCGACGTGACATATCAAGACATACACGGGACATCGGCCACGAAAGTTGCGGTAAAATTTGAGTGCAGTAAAACGAGGCCGTGCAGTGGAATTACCTTGGATGAAGTCAACTTGACTTACGGTGACAAATCGGCAGTCTCGTCGTGCGCCAACGCCAGCGGGACCACCGATGGCATAGTCAACCCGGAGATTTGCTTCTAAATGGCTCACACAAAATTGATCACACAAAATATAAATATATTCAAATGTTATTATTATTATTATTAGAGGAAAAAAAAATATTTTTTATTATTATATTAAGTGTGCATGAAATCAAAGGCTGGTTGATAAGTTAACTTATAGGGTAGGCCATTATCGGCTCGACCCGGCGCGGCCCGGCCCATCCCGGCCGAAAGCATGTAGGAATTAATGTTAATAACCGCTGACGTATTGTTAGTGAGGTCACATTTTAGTAGCAAATTATGGCGACTTTGCTTTGCAATTGAGTCAATTTTTAGGTTACATATTCTTATGTTATAGTTGATGAAGTCACAAAATTTAAATTTATGAAATGTTATTTTTATATTTATATTTTTTTTCATCGGATAATGTTTTAATTATAAATAGCTGTGAATGACTCCATAACTCGAACCATTTAACAAAACTGGCTTGTCAATTGCTTTAAAACTAGTGTGTATCCCGTACAATGCACGCATAGATAATATTAAATAATAATTATAAATTAAAGAGGAGGGTAAACAATATTAACTAATAATTATATATTGGAGATGTGGAGTTAATATATGATATAATATGTCGTATACATAAAATTATCTTGTATAAAATAATTTTCGAAAATGTATGTTTAAAATATTAAAAAGGCCTAAAATATTATATAACGTAGGAAAAGTATTAAAATTTTATATATCATTATTGAAAGATTGAAGTCACTTAAAATTTTTCTAAACTATTTTGTAAAAAAAATACGTCTAACTATTTAAAAAGATGTGAAGTCACCTAAAATCTTCTACATTAATTTTCATGAAAACATGTCTAACAATATTTAAATTTACAAATGTACGTGTATACGTTTATATCTAAATGTATATATAGATAAAACGTGTACAAAAATTCTAAATAATATGTTTAAGATTATACAAAATATTATGAGCCTAAATAAAGATATTATCTCTGCACTTTATTAACTCAAAATGAAAAGATTTACATTAAATATAATATATATATATATATTGAGATGATAGTATATATAAAATAAACATTGAGTTGATATTGAGAATTATGACCTATAAAGTTAACAATTAGTTTTTTTTTTAGTTCTTGTAGGCTTGATTTATCAAATTTATCAAATTAGTTTTTCTAGTGTTTGTTCTTATTATATATATATATATTAGATTCCACTTCTATACCAA